CTGACTGCTGTCCAGGCTGCCTGTGTATGGCTTCATGAGCCATGGCATTAAGGGGTAGGCTGGGTCCCCAAGGATCACGATAGGCATTTCAACATCCCCAACTGTTATTTTCTGGTCTGGGAAGAAAGTCCCTTCCTCCAGCTTTCGAAACAGAAGAGACTGCCTGAAGACGCGAGCATCATGTACTCTTCCCGGCCAGCCCACGTTGATGTCGGTGAAACGTCCCTTGTGATCCACCAGGGCTTGCAGCAGCATTGAAAAGTACCCCTTGCGGTTTATGTAGTCGGTGGCTTGGTGCGCCGGTGCCAAGATAGGGATATGGGTTCCGTCTATCGCCCCACCACAGTTTGGGAATCCCATTGCAGCAAAGCCATCCACTATGGTCTGCACGTTTCCCAGAGTCACTACCCTTGATATCACCAGGTCTCTCATTGCCCTGGCAACTTGGATCACAGCAGCCCCCACAGTAGATTTGCCCACTCCAAATTGATTCCCGACTGACCGGTAGCTGTCTGGCGTTGCAAGCTTCCACAGGGCTATCGCCACTCGCTTCTCCACTGTGAGGGCTGCTCTCATCCTGGTATTCTGGCGCTTCAGGGCAGGGGAAAGCAAGTCACAAAGTTCCATGAAAGTGCCCTTACGCATGCGAAAGTTTCGCAGCCACTGGGCATCGTCCCAGACCTGCAACACGATGCGGTCCCACCACTCTGTGCTTGTTTCCCGGGCCCAGAATCGGCGGTCCACGGCATGAACCTGCCCCAGTAACACCAAGATTTCCACATTGCTGGGGCCTGTGCCTTGTGAGAGGTCCATGTCAATTTCCTCATCACTATCGTCGCCGCGCTGCAATCGCCTCCTCCTCAGCTGGTCCTGGTTTGGCTTTGGCATGTCCAGGAGGCTCTGCATGTTTTCCAGGACAATGCGCGTGGTGTTCATAGTGCTCAGAATTGCCGCGGTGATCTGAGCGGGCTCCATGATCCCAGTGCTGGCTATGGCGTCTGGTCTGAAAAAAGGCGCGAAAGTAGTATCTGACGGACCAGGGGAAGAAGGGAGGGAGGGAGAGAGGGAGGGAGGGGCGAGTGACACCGCGTACAGGTACAGGGAATTAAAATCAAGAAAGGTGGCTTTGCATCAGGGAGAAACACAAACAACTGTCACACAGAATGCCCCCCCCCCAAAGATTGAACTCAAAAGCCTGGGTTTAGCAGGAGGGAGGGGGGAAGCAAATGAATGGAGAATAAATCTATTTTTTACATCTTAAGACGACGGCGCAGCATGACTGATAGCCCTTGGCATTTTCTGGGTGCTTGGCAGCAAATACTGGGCGCTTGGCAGTAAGCCTTCAGGTCTATTGCACGATCTGATGCCCACTGCAGTATGACAACGATGGATACCAGTCGTAATATACTATCTTCTGCCCAAAAGGCAAGGGGTTGCTGCTGTATAGCAATGTTGCCCCATCCTGCGAATAATACATCTGATAACCATCATCATCAAGGCAAGGGGGCTGGTGCAATGCAGCCCCACGGCTGCCAGCCCCATGTCTGCCAGCACCCAGATAGCCCTCGGCCTCTTCTGGGTGCTTAGCAGACAATATTGGGCACTTGGCAGAAAATAGCATACTACGACTGATAACCATCATTGTCTGCCCGGGTGCCCATGATCGACAGCCACTGCAGTACGATGACGACGGTTACCAGTTGTAATATACCATCTTCTACCAAAAGGCAAGGGGCTGGTGCAATGCAGCCCTACGGCTGCCAGCCCCACAGCTGCCAGCACCCAGATCGCCAATGAAGGCTACCAGTCATGCTGCACCGTCTACCGCCAAAAGGCAGTAAGCTGCTGCTGCTGTTTAGCAATGCAGTCCCACGTTTGCCGGCACCCGGAAGAGATATGGTGACGGTGAGCTGAGCTGAGCGGGCTCAATGCTTGGCGTGGTATGTTGTCTGCACAGGTAACCCAGGTAAAAAGGCGCGAATCTATTGTCTGCCGTTGCTGTGACGGCGGGGGAGGGGCCTGACGCAATGTACCCAGAACCCCTCGCGGCACTGCTTTGCATCATCCGGGCATTGCGATCTCAACCCATAATTCCAATGGGCGCCGGAGGCTCCGGGAACTGTGGGATAGGTACCATAGTGCAATGCGCCGGAAGTCGACGCTAGCCTCGGTACTGTGGACGCGGTCCGCCGACTTCATGCACTTAGAGCATTTTAGGTGGGGACACACACAATCGGCTGCATACAACCGGTTTCTATAAAACCGGCTTCTATAAATCCGACCTAATTCTGTAGTGTAGACATAGCCTTAAAAGAAAACTGTACCAATTTAGCTCAGAGCAGCAATCAAAGTTCACAAGGGAAGGAACACCTTTTGCCATATACAACCAGTGAACTGTGTTTTGAAACTAGTTTCATATTAACAATGCTATTTCTGAAACTAATATTAGCAGGAAACACTTTTAAACATTAATATTTTCTTGAGATTAAAGCATATTACAGCAGACTCTTCTATTGGGCTTCTACCCTGCTGGTGTCAAAAACTACGGGCCCGATCCTGCAATCTTTTATTCAAGCACGTTTCCAAATGAATGCAAATTTGCCTGAATAAAATCTGTCGAGTAGGTCCTGTGATCAGGTAGAAATGCCTCCTTCCATGAAAAGAACCTTGTTTGCAAATACATTTCATGGTTTCTACAAGGTGAGAAGTTCTTTCAACTCTTGTGCATATAGATTTAAGTTTTCTTTGAAAGGAATCATATCAAATGCACAGTGGGCTACTGCTGTTGTCTGAACACCATGTCATAATAAGAGATTGGAATTCTTCTCTTATTGAAACAGTTACTCAGTGAATAGCTCTTCATTATCTAAGAGATAACCAGGAAAAAAATTTAATAAATATTTTACCCATTGCATCAAAAATAAATATCATTTATAAAACATCCAGTACTTATGCTTCTCATCATAATACAGTGTATAGAAATGTGTCCAATACAGATGATATTTACAAACGTTCGTCTGAATCTTTCAATTTAATGCATTCTTCCAGTTACATTAAAGTTATATAAAATCATAATGTAGCTTCTCTCATAATTATACCATCGATGTATATTAAAGGTCAAACTAAAGCTTTTATGAGAATACAGAAGGGTTTCAAGTAGGAAGAATGGCTTTGAATATTATATTTTTAAGTGGTGTTTATTGGAACTTAACACTACATCATTTTAGAATTGCAGCCAATGTTTGAGAGGAATTTGTTATTACTTAGCCAAATAATAGAACATATAAAAGCAAGCTGACTTTTTGAAAAAAAAAGTTTAATAATACAGTAATAGTTGTAGTATCGTCCAGTAAAAGTGTACTGTAAAAATGTTCTGAATATTAATTTACCTCAAATAATTTTAGAGTTGTAAATACTTGTATTATAGTGAGGTAGACAGTAAAAAAAAATCTCCATTATTAACACAGAATTTAAATCTTGTAATAATATTTTAAGGAAATGATATCTTTAAGGAAGAATGAAATATCTGATTAATGCTTAACTCTGTACAACTCAAATATAAACTTTAAAAAATATTAGAAATTATAACATTTCGAGTGCATATAATGTTTTGTACATTTAAAAAAGAAATGCATGTTGTTCACCTCCATTTTGCACTTTTCAGTCTGTTTAAATAAACAAATATTTACAGCTTTAATATGAACAACAGTGCATCCAAAGCAAAATGTGCATTTTAAATTATTGCTCCTGGTCGAGTCTTTTTATTATTATTATTAGCATTTTATATTATTAATTAATTATTATTATTACTCTCATCTTTTTTCACCAGTTTGAAGCTTTGTGAAACCAGATAAGCTAACAGCACTAGAATTCCGTGGGGGAAGTCTAAACCTATAAACATACAAATTAAAAATAAACACAAAAAGGTTTAGGCATGCTGAGAAGTGCACTTTCCTTAGGTAAAGCCATGTTTCAGACTAAAGGTGGGAAGGAAACAAAAATCTTTATAAATGCTTTTTCCAGCACCATATTTCCATATAATACTGTTGCAGGTTGATAGAGCTACCTATGGAATTTGTTAATTGAATAGTTACATGCTTTTTTCTTGAAATTTAAAGGAGCTTCCATTCCAAATCACTCCTATTTGTGTTTTCTGTAACACTTTGCTCTTTTCACAGTTTTTCATTACTAAGTCTTAAAATATAACCTAACTGGTAATTACAATCTGGAACAATGTTTTTTTTGGGGGGAGGGGGCCGTAGGCTATTTCTGGCTGGTAATTTTGCAGGAATGTGAAAGAGAGAGGGCAGAAACGAAATAACCCTTCTTAGGGAAACTTCAGAGGCAGGAGTCATTCTGCTCTCTGGCTTTGATTGTCTTTATACTTGGTAAATTGCCTTTACACTTAAAGCAGGTATAGATCATCAGATAATTCTAAGGGGAAAGTCCTTGGAACCAAAACTTTATTGGGTCCTTTTTTTTCTTTTGCCTCCTCTGCTTGCTAGTCCCATTACTCTCCGCATGCCAACCCATGAAAAGAGTCGTGCCTGTTGCTTTCCCTTAATCTTAAATGGGCTCAGTTTGAACAGGTGCCTGTCGCTGCATCTTGTATACACTGGGGAGAAACATCGATGGAGAAGGCGCAGCAAAATAATCCTTCTCTCTCCAGACTTGACTCCCACAACCTGATCTGGAGAGCGCTGGTTTCCATCAGATCTGAAGAAAGCTTTTGCAAAAGTGTCCCCCTCTTTCCCTCCCACTCCCACTTTCCTGCTTCCACTTCCACCCAGTTCTTTGAAGGAAGGGGTGGCCTTGAGTCTCCTTGTGTGCAAAGCAGGATCTGGAAGGTGGGCTACTCAGTGCCAGCTTTCTCCTGAAAACTGAGCAGCCCCAGCTTGTTGGGTGAGGGGTCCATGGGGCTGGCTGGGTCAGGCACGGAGCAGGCAGTTAAAGCCCACGTTCTCCTCTGTAATGTGGAGCTTCGCCACATTGGTTGGTTGGTGGCTGGTTTTAACGCTGGTTTCCAATGTGTCGAGAGCAGGGATACAGGGGAGATGGATACACAAACTATTCCTCACCCATTCAAGCCTATCAAGTATGCAGGTCACGCCAGCCAATGCACACGCGCCGCAGATCCTTGACTGTTTTGCAGGAGCACCCAACATGTGAGAATTCCCCTCCCGTCCCATAGGTGAAGTTTCCGGGACCTCAGACTCGACCAGCCCTCTCCTGTCCTTTGAGTTCATTTATAGCTCCAAACCACCTCGATCTCCCCCGGGGAGACCGGCAAAGCAGCCTGCTACCTGCAACCGCAGGACTCGACCACCATGTCTTCGTACTGCTTGTACACCACGTTGTTGCCCGCATCTATGTAGAGGATGCTGATGGGGGTCAGTTTGGTGGGCACGCAGCAGCTGGGAGGCGTGGAGCTGGGGTCCATGGAGTTCATGAGGGTCTGGATGATGGCGTGGTTGGTGGGCTCCAGGTGGGATCGCAGCGGAAAGTCGCACACCCCTTCGCAGTGGTAGGCTTCGTACTCCAGCGGGGCGATAATCCAGTCGTCCCAGCCCAGCTCCTTAAAGTTCACGTGCAGGGGCTTTTTGCTGCACCTGAGCCGGGACTTCTTGCCATGCCTCTTGCCATGGCGGCTGGCGAAGGCGGTCCGCCTCTTCCGCCGCGTCTTGAACTGCTGCTGGGTCTCCTGCGGCACGCGCTGCAGCGAGCCCCGCTCCTCCCGCGGCGAGCCCCGCTCCTCCCGCAGCTCGGCGAACAGGTTCTTCCGCGGGGACCTGGTGAACACCACCAGCAGGGCCTTCTCCTGCTGCGCCCGGCCCCTCCTGCCGAAGCCCAGGCTCCTGAGGTCCGGCAGCGGCTGCTGCCCCCGGCCCCCCGGGGCCCGCAGCTCCAGGCACAGCTGCTTCCAGGGCTGCTGCTGCTGCAGCCCCTGCCACACGTCAAACACTTCCCAGCCGGCCGGGGGAGCCTCGCGCGGGTCCAGAGTCCGGGCGTCCAGGAGCCGGGGGGAGAGGCAGGGGAAGAGCTGCATGGAGGACAGGCCCGGCGAGGGCTGGGAGAGGCGATGGCCGGGGGCTTTGCGAAAGAGCCGCAGCTCCGCTCCCACCAGCTCTTCTTTGTCTGAGAGAGTCGATACATCAAACAAATACTTCTGTCTCCTGAGCGGGGCGGGCGAGAGATCGTCTGCAAGATAACACATAATTACAGTCAGTTTCACTCCGGGGGATCTTCCCGCGGCCGACGGGAGACAGGGCAGGGAGCCTGGGCTCACCCCTCCAGCGGCCCTGCCTGCCCCAAACCGCCCCCCGCGCCCCCGGCCCGGAGAGCCAGGCGCCCTCTCCCAGGGAAGCAGCGGGACGGGAGAGGACTCGTGTCGGCGACTCTCCGCGGGGCTTCTCCTTCCATGGCTGGGGAGGGGGGAGGCAGGGTCGCTGCGGGGTTAGATGTGTCACTGGCCTAACGTGTTTCCCTTGTGCTCACTGGGTGTCTCTAAAAGGGAGCCCGTGTTGTAGTGGCAGGATCAGCACACAGCGAGAATCGCCTCGCTCCGCGTCCAGACTGGCTGCAGAGACAGGGCGTGTTCTGACAGCCTGCGCTCCACGTCCATTTCCTCACCCCGTCGGCTCTGCTGTCCTCTGCGGCTAGAGTCCGGAGGGGGAGGGGAGAGGAGGGGGGCTATTTTATTCCGCTCCGAGAGAGAAACCTGGACTTCTTTTTTGACACATTTGTGTACGAAGTACAGCACGAAAAGCAAACCAGATTCCCCCGAGCTGCTTTCCAATAAAATGTTTACAACCCAGCAAATACAAAAATTCCCAAAGCCCCTGGGTCTCCCCAGAAGCTAGTAAAGTTTGTGTATATTTCAATAGTAAAAGTGTCATTGGAGCCAGCGTTCAGCAGCCCCTCGCAGCATTTCCAAGCTCAGCTTGCGCCAGAGGTAGAAATGGAGACTAAAGAAATATACAATCCCTGTTATTTGTTGATTTCAGAGGTCATTGCTATTTCTAATCAGTATGTTTCCCAACCTAAGGTCCAGCTGAAAATTCTGGAAGGGGGGAGCCTGTTGAGGGAACAGCCGGATGATTTATGGAAGCCAAGACCTCCAGACTTGCCAAATCGATGTACAAATCAATACGGATTGGCATACAGGAACTCAAAAGTCACTCTCCATTGGCTGCTTTTTTTCCAAAAATGCAGACAATAGGTACTGTGTGAAATTCAGTTGGAATCGCGCTGCATAACCGGGACACAGCGCCCAGGCAATATTCCTCGAGAGATCGCGGTTCTTTCGTAACAGAGCCTTCCTAGCAACCGTGCGCAGAATCATTTCCTATCAAATCCATAGGAAGAGTTTAGGGACCCGGTCGAAGCCCGCCTGGGTGGCTGTAGTGAACTACACTTTTACCGGGTTCCCATCCCTCTAGAAAATGTTTCTGAGGCGCTTTCCACCTTTATTCAGGGCACGGTTACGTTTCCCCAGCGGGGGGGGGGGGAGGCAAAAATCTGTTTTCTTTCCTTGGAAATGTGTATGTGAGTCATTGGTAAACATAGATCGGTCCTGGAAATCAATTGTACATTTCCGTGTGTGAGGAAGATAAAAAATAATTAAGACATCAGTGAAAGGGTTAATTAGTTTAAAATAAAATAGGTGTAATGATTTACCAAAGTAGTTGACAAAATGATTGTATGAAGATGGATTACTCCTGGGTAAAGCACTTGGGATTCTATCCTGCTGCCACTGAGATCAGTGGCAAATCTCCCCTTGAGTTCAATGGAAATCGGACCAGTTGCCTTTTAAAAGTGAAATTACATTGCTGATTAATTTCAAGCGGGTAGCCAGAGGTATTCATAAAGAAGAGCACCAGCGAATTTGGAATGAGGCCTATAATACTTCCAAGTACTCACATTAGACTCCTGTAACCCAGTTTCAACCGAGGAAGGAATATTCCTTTTCCATAATGAAGATTAACCAGAACTAATTAATTCAAACTTCAATTGTCTCTTCTGAAGAGCAACAGCAACTCAGGGATAACTAGACAACCCTGCCTGAGATACAAACCTACTTCAGTGAGAATTACACATTTATTAACAACCATAGAGCCTACAAAAAACAAGGTGACAACGACAGCTGTTAAAACAATCTGTTTAAAATAAAAGTGAAATATAGCAAGTGCTGCCTACCTTCATTATAATGACTTTAAAGTGCTGTTGGGGCCGCTCCATTGAGGGGAGTGAGCAGGATTTGGCCTATCACTGCAATTTGTACACGTGTTTTATCAGCCCTACAGCTGGAATAAGGTAAAATGTGTTGTGTTCGCCTAGCTTGTTCTTCAGAAACAAGTTCGGAATGGGGCCATAGTACTTTATGGTTTCCTTTGTCTTTCTATTGTTTTCCACACTCGGCCTTCTCTACACACCCCTTCCCCCCGCCCCCATGCCTAATACACCCAAATCTCCTCTGTTGACTTCAGCAGGGGAGTGGGGGGGTTCTGAGTGCACAAGGACTGCAGGATGGGGTGAATGATTCAAGAAAGTGAAGCTCTCAGACAAGACTCACCCTGCCAGGACTGTGTCAGTTTCACGAGTTTTTCCTCCACTTCATGTGCTGGGCATGGGTCTGCGATGCGGGGTAAGTTTCAGGAAAAGATGTACAGTCCAACAGCAAGAATGTGGATGATTCAAACAATGTCCTGCTTACTTCGTCACATTTCACTTTCGCGATCCAGAGCGCTAAATTCATGCTGCAGCCAGAACCAGGGCTACATTGCACTGAAAAAATCTAAAAACGTAGTTGATCCTTCTAGTAAGTAGCTGTCTAGAACCTAAGGCGCGCACAGCAAGTTCAGCGGCAGGGGCCGCCTTATTCCTTCATTAGTCTATTTGGGAATGGGTCTGTAAACCAACATTCAGATGGGGAAGGGGGTGGGAGGGTGATCTGAGCTATGGACATTTGAATAACTCTCTCCTCCTAGGGGGCCAGGTTAAACGCAGCGTTGGCCGCTGACCCTGCGCTCTGTACGCTGCCAGGAGCTGAACAGTGTCTGAAGCAGGACTAGGAAAGTAGGAGCTCCATTTATTCGCCCGTGGGCGCTCCCGTAGTGGTGCCAGGTCTGCTGGGATCAGAGGGGCTGCAGACCTTATCCCCCATACCTGTCTGGCCCAGGCCAACACCTTCCCAACCCCTACTTAGGAGGCAACCAACCCCCTTCCTCTTCTGCCCCTGGTCTTCGGGGCCAGGGGAAAGCTGGGTCTCTCTAGTTCTGCTTGAGGGGCGGGGGTCTTGTGTTTGATCTCAAAGAAGATGCGCGTCCACTTTTTCTCTTCTGGGGAATTGCAGCTGCAGGTCAGGAGCCCGGCCCGGTGGGACCTTTGGGCCTAGGTGCCTAGATCTGTTTGGTTCCAGATTCCTCGACCCTGGGGTCCCCATAGTCCTGAGATCCCAGGTTTACCAGTTCTCGGAGTCCCTTCAGATCCCCGAAATCTTGTGCCTAGCTCCCCCCTTTCTGCTCACAGCTTGCCAGCACGTGCTCCACCCCAGCAGGCTGGTGGCATGCCGAGAACCCGGACCTGAAATAGAGGTATTCTCCCCTCCTCCGCCTTTCCCGGGACCTGTTACCCAGCGGAGATCTAACGGAGGGTGTAGTGCTCCCCCATCACACAGCTAGAAGCCGGGAGAAGGGAAAACGCACGGACAGTCACCTGCTTCATAGAACTAACCCCTTTCTATGGGACTTTAGCTTTCAGCTGAGGGGGTGTGGGGCTGCAGGCACATTTTTCAACTGAGCTCCCCCCAAAGAGAGTTGTGTGAATCGCCTGAGAGAGGTTTGAAAGGGGGGAGGGGGCCAAAGTCTCCATTTTCCCACGTGAGGACAAGTGAAAGCAAAGTGTTTCTGATTTTGATCAGTAGGGCTGGACATTTAGTGGCTCCGGAATGTCGCGTGGAGATTTATGCCATCAAGGGGCAAATGTCAAGTGTATTGTTAAATGGCAGTTATATGCACTAAGCAGTAGTGGGGAGGAACATGCGAGATCCCATGTGAGTTTCCAGGGTTGAAAACGGCAACTTGAAGGTTGTAAATTGTCTCCTGTTCTTTTTGTGTTTATTCCGTGGTTATCTTCAGCATTGTCCTGCGGTTAACGAGATAATTAAACTCTTCCAGCCATGGGTAGGACGATCTGGGATGTGTGGGTTTCAAACAAGAACACATCTTTTGCTCCTCTAAATATATCTGAGTCCGAACTGGCTTCATGTCACATTGGACAGGCACGTCAGAAAGGGAGAGGAAATGTACCAGGTGGGTAAGAAGATTTCAAAGGACAGCCACATCTCGGCACTACTTGTGTTCCAGAAATTGTTCAGACAAAAATCTTTCATCAATTGATAAAATTGCCAGGTCTCATTATTCCATCAAAGGGGCCAGGGCACCGGTTATTTCAAATAAGCAGCTTTGAATCCGATCAGATAAACGTTGTTTGCTCACTCTTGTAACCTAATAATTACAGATGAAGACATAATCCTAAACCATATTGGCTTGCTCCCAGTGCAAACAGTCAAGAGGGTGGGAAAAGCAGAGGAACGAGGGAAGAGTGGGGGGGAAGCTATAAAAATTCTAGAAATCTGAGGAAGATGGATCCTTTTTTAGAATCTTTAAGTCAATTTGTTTTCCGTTTTACCGTGCAAAGAGCACAGTAACCGTGAAAACCCCTCTTGCTCTCGCTCACCCTTTTGGTAGGCTCTTACGGTGCTTATTTATTTTCCTTGAAATCAAAGAAGTGGGTTGGGTGAAATCTGTGTCGTCAAACAACACATTCAATATCTGCCCCCTCTCAGATTATTGTTAACACATTTCCAGAGCTCAACAAATATTCTGTGTTTCTAAAGCGCACAACTGGCTGTTGGAAACACTAAATTATAGAAAATTCCATACGGAAGTCAGCCTCCAGGTACCTTTGTATTTGGAATTTAAATGTACATACACGTTATTGTTATATTATTATTATTTCGAATGTCCTTTGTTAGATTTCTAGAAGCTAAAATATTTGGGGGTGGAGGAAGACAGATCTATCTGGAATTTAAGCATGTGGCACTGGTGGGGAAAAGAAACAGCCAGATGTAGATCCTGCCCTTTCAAATGTGTCCCGGGAAACGAATATGCTCATCGTGTTTTGTCTTGCAGAATTTT